TACATAGGAGCCTCTTCGCAAGCGCAGTCAGTTAGCGACCGCACTCACTGTGATGTTAGCGGCCTGTTTGGAACATGCTAGAGCTTGCAAACCAGAACACCTGTCTTCTGTCGTCGCGATCGTCGAACGATCCAAAGCATGGGAAAGATTGTCGGCCCCGAACGGATCCAGACGATGCCCAGTATCCCAGTGTGCCCCGGCTGCATGTCACATGTGCAATCATTTACTTGAATTGGTGTGCTGCCCTCTGCCCACAGGCTAAGCAATGACACACAAGATACTCTGCCAGCCACCGAAGAGCAGCTGGAGGCTCCAGCTGGGCTGTTGGAGTATTTAGGGTTTAGGTATAGGGTTTAGGGCTTAGGGTTTAGGGTTCAGGGTTTAGGGTTTAGGGTTTAGGGTTTAGGGTAGGATCCGGCTAGTTCAGGGCATAGGGCTGAGGGCTGTATAGGGATTAAGTTAGAAGGCTGTTCGGGTATTCAATTCAGGGGTTTATGTTCGATGATCAGGATGCACACCGAGTCACATCATCGACCTGGCTTGCGCGGGATTGAGATTCAAGTTCGCACTCAAATTCGTCTCCTGCTTGTCCGCTGCTTTGCTGGAAATCGTGGCGCCGTCGAACACCAGGTACATCTCGTAATCCTAGGTGAGCTGAATTTTCGAGCTCTACCAGCACTGTAGCAGACCACCGTCGCTAGATCTAGAATACATATACATTATATATATATATATATATATAAAGATGCAATCAAAATACTTCGAGGTCCCTCAGATCTGGATGTTTCATCCAGTGTGGACTGTCTTCGTAGGCGTTGCCAAGTCGAGCTTGAAGAGATTTTTTTTCGGTTCTGATCTTGTCCGCCGCCTCCTGTCCGAACTCCTTCACCAGAGTCCGGTAGGTTTTGTAGACCTCGTTTCCGGTTCTCACACGCTTGTTCGTGCGGCTGTTGTTCTGCACAAGGGTGCATTGATGCCAATCTTCGCCAGATTCCATGTACAGTTTGAAGAGTGACTGCATGGATCCCCGACCTTATATGCCAGCATATCTAGACCTATCGTCGTAGAAAGTCGAGATGCAATTCCTGTGTCCACCAAGCCGAAACTTTAGGGTTTAGGGCTTAAGGGTTAAGGGCTTTGCTATCGAGCTCAAGTCACCTTTCTTGAGCCTGCTCACTTCTTTCATGACCTCCTCTGGGACATCATCACCTCAGTTCGGTAACATGAAGTAGTTACCGATTGAAACTGATCATCAATGCAATGCTCGATCATTAATGTCATGGATCAAGCCTAGTCACGATCCAGCGAACGACTCATTCTCATGTACGCAGCCCTGCGCTCCTTGCGCTGCTCCTCCGAGGTCTGCTCTTCGAACATCTGCTGCTTGGGCTGGGCTGCAACTGCGGCGTCGGGCTTCGCAGGGGAGCTCGCCTGCATCGCAATCGATTTGGGATCTAGGGTAGAGGGTGTAGTTATGAGAGGGTTTAGGGTTTAGGGATACGGTTACAATATGTCGTAACTAAATCCAAGATCGCAAGCTTGCTCGCTTGCATCACAAGTGGAGGAATTTGGGATTTTGGGTTATCCAAAGTAGCTACAATTACACGGTTTAGGGTTTCGGCATACGGTTTATTGCATTGCAGATAATATAGTGCATCGCAACCCTGGATGGCTTGCTCGCATGCATCGCAAGCGGAGGAATCGAAGTTTGGATTTAGGCCTAGGGTCATCGATTATAATTAATAGTAAAGGGTTTAGGGTTTAGGGATATCTTGCAGGTAATGGTGTATCGATCTCTGGTCCCGATTGGCCGTGGCAATAGTTTCGAAGCCACAACAGTATATCCAAGTAATTTACCTGTCCGAAACCCCACATCACCAGCCCTAGCCCTGTACCTAGGCCTTGAATCCATCCAAACCCGAAACGACTCACCGGGCTTAGCACCATCGTGACCGCACCAACGGTTAAACACAAATCGTGCCATATCACGTTCATCACCATCATCATCGTCGTCGTTGTCATCTTATCGTCTCATCATCACCATCATCATCATTATCATCACCATCAGCGCCATCGCCATCGTCATCGCCATCATCATCAT